TAAAAGCCAGGCGGGAAAACACACCGATGCTTCATCAGAGGCTGCACGGAGGATGTTACCAAGCACGGTAACGAAACGTCTGCGGAACAACAAACCAGCTCGGCGAGCCAACCAACCTCAATATACATTCCTGTGTAGCATCTTAAGTCTACTGGACAACTAACAAATGTCAAGTTCCTCTTGGAAACTGCAAATTATGTTACAGTTAACTGACCAAGCATATGCTATGTTACTGCCATATTGAATAAATTTTATTATTGCATGGCACATGAAAATTGATATTCAGTTGCTGTATGTCAATCTTTATCATATTAACAAAATACCTCATTTACTTATGGCATGAACAGCTGGATGAAAAATGTTTTGTGTATTCATGAGAACACATGTAATGAAGCTTTTATAAAAATGATATTCAGCTTTGGGCCAGGAAACATAGTTACCCTATTCCACATGTTTGGTAGATTGCGTAATTCTGTCTTTATGTATTATGTGCCTTTGAGTATATCTCGATGCTCCTACGCATATTTGTTTACTCTTTTGTATTTCCTTCCCGTTATTAAAATTGAACAAAAATCAGAAATCTTTGTTGCCCCAGAAACATTGCAGATAAACTGACAAAATAAATTAACTCCATCTTCTTTCCGCCTCCCCCTCTCTCCCTATTTATTTCAGAACCCCTTTCCCGTCCCCCATTTCTGATGAAGGGTCTAGGCCCAAAACGTCAGCCTTCCTGCTCCTATGATGCTGCTTGGCCTGCTGTGTTCATCCAGCTCTACACGTTGTTATCTCAAAATAAATTAACTGCCAGCAAATAAGTCTGCAAAGTTATTCTACTGCATTCACAATGTAAAGTCCAAAATCATACTTTCATGCATCAATACTCACGAGGAACAAAGTGATAAAATCTCTGTCATTCCACCGTCCTTTTTTTTTCAGACCCTCATTAAAACTGAATTCATCAACAAAGCTTTTTGTCCCTCATTACTGTATGCTCCTTTGACTCGGTGTCTATTTTCTCTTTATATCTCTATGTGTATATTTTCATAAGTACAGTTTCAATTATGGTAGAGAATAAGGAACTCTATTTCACTTAAATCGATTGCTCCAATGTTTGCAGATACCAATTATATGAAAGGTAAATTTAAAGTATATTTGAAATGTGATATAACATACATATCCAATTTCTGAAACTCGAGGTCCAGCATAGTGAAAGCATTTGTGATCATTTCCATAACTTGCTTGTAAATGGAACTCAAGTCCCTGGATTCTGTTGCCTGCAAATAAAATTTTGAAAAAAGATCATAAGGTGTTCACAGCAGCCATAGACGTTTGGCATAAACATCTTGGATTAAATTTCATATCTGATGAGCTCATGATCTCACTTAGGCTTGAGATGGAATCTTAGGGTGTAGGTGATGCTATCCATTGAATGAAGTACAACATGGTTGATGATTGTCTAACCAAATTCTCAAATGAGAATAATATGGCACAAAGAAAAATTTACACCATACCCTTCAACTTGCAGCATGGTGCGAGGATGGAAATCAGGCAAGTATTATGTAGCACCGTCAAATCAGCTAGTTTCAATTTGGAAGTTGTGTTCTTCTCCAAGGTGATATTTAACATCTGAATGGGTAATTGAGATTTATAAATTACATTGTACAAATTCTTGGCATTATTGGAAAGTTGATAATCTGATAGATGAGCACCAGACTGACTACAAAAGATGGCTTGTGGAGTTTCAAATTTTGTTTTATAAAATCATAGAATTCCTACAGTGCGGAAAGAGACTATTCAGCCCATTGAGTCTGCATAACCCACTGAACAGCATCCCACCCAAACCCCATAACCCTACATCTAGCCTGCACATCCCTGGATACTATGGGGCAATTCAGCATGACTAATCCACCTAACCTGCACATCTTTGAAATGTGGGAGAAATGATCAGCGATGCCTAGATTGGGTTCCTCCAGGGCCACTCAGCTCCTGATCTCATTACAGCCTTGGTTCAAACATGGACAAAACAGCTGAATTCTAGAGGTGATGTGAGGGTGACAGTCCTCGACATCAAGGCTGCATTCGACCGAGTGTGGCATCAAGGAGCCCTAGCAAAACTGGAATCAACGGGTATCAGGGAGCAAACTCTTCGGTGGTTGGAGTCACATAGGAAGATGGTTGCGTTTGTTGGAGGTCAATCATCTAAGCTCCAGGATACCTGTGCAGGAGATCTTCAGGGTGGTGTCCTCGGCCCAACCATTTTCAGCCGCTTCATCTTCCCTCCATCATAAGGTCAGAAGTGGGGATGTTCGCCAATGATTGCACAATGTTCAGCACTATTCGTAACTCCTCAGATGCTGAAGCAGTCCGTGCTCAAATGCAACAAGATGTGGACAATATCCAGGCTTGGGCTGACAAGTGTCAAGTGACATTGGCACCACAAAAATGCCAGGCTATGACCATTATCAATAAGAGACAATCTAACTACCACCCCTTGACATTCAATGGTGTTACCATTACTGAATCCCCCACTATCAACATCCTGGGAGTTATCATTTACCAGAAACTCAACAGTTGCAGCAGTATGTACTATCTACAAGATGTACTGCAGAAATTCACCAAAGATCCTCAGACAACACCTTCCAAACCCACAACCACTTCCATATAGAAAGGACAAGGATAGCAGACATATGGGAACACCGCCACCTTCATGTTCCCCTCCAAGTCACTCACCATCTTGAGTTGGAAATATATCGCTGTTCCTTCATTGTCGCTGGGTCAAAATCCTGGAACTCACTCCCTAATGGCATTGTGGGTCAACCTACAGCTGGTAGACTGCAGCAGTTCAAGGAGGCAGCTCACCACCACCTTCTCAAGGGCAACTAGGGATGGTCAAGAAATGCTGGCCAGCCAGTGACACTCACATCACACAAATGAATAGAAAAAAAAAATTGGGGCCCCCCAAGGAAATGCGTACAGACACAGGGAGAAAGTACAAACTTCAGGTTTTCTGTTCTTTAGAACAAATAGGGATTTTCATGCACTTTTAATCATCTATATGTTTTAAGAGCCAATAATTTTCCTATCCACTTCTTACACTTCTTTCAGGAATGATCAAGCAGTTTTAAAATAATCTGTAGAACTCATTCTCCAGCTAAATTAGCCAAGACTAAGAATTAACTTTAGGGCTGTCAAGTCGTGAAATATTATTGAGCACTTTGCATAGTTTTAAATTATACTGATTAGGCACAATACTAACTTCCCAGCGTAGGCAGGTTGAGAAAGATGAAAACTCCTGAGACTTTGCCACAGGGGCAAAAATTTGGACTTTTGTTTTTACCAAAACGACTATTTTTTACTTAGTATCTCTGCAAGCGCAAGTTGGAAAGGGTAGCTATGACAACAAATTCATAAAGTACATTAGGGAAAGTTTCCTAGAGCAATATGTCATGAAGCGAACCAAGGAGCATGTTGTTTTAGATACGGTAATGGGTAACCAAGGAGGTGTAATAAATGACCTCAGCAGAAGATCCCCTAGGAAGGAGTGATTGTAACATACTAAAATTTAATATTCAGTTTGAGAGTGAGAACAGTAGCAATTGAAATGAGGTCAGCCAGGCGGACCTTATAGAATATGAGTTCCCTGATTGGGGCAATTAAACTGGTCCAATCGGGCAGCCCTCGCTGACAGATAAAAAGAAGAGTGTCAGACATTCTGACACTTTGAGAGCAGGCTCTGAGGGAGCTAGACCAGTGTCAAAGACTTTCCACATGTAAATTAAGGTGACTTGGTGACGCAATACCAAAGTCTGTGGAGTTATTTCAATAACCTTGTGTCAGAAACAACCATGTCTAACTTAAATAAAAGGAATTACAGTGACATGAGGACAGAGTTAGCTAAAGTGGACTGTGCAGTTAGGTGACCAGGAATGACATTAAGCAGGCAAAGGCAGAAATTTAAGGAGGTAATCCTTGACTGACCATAAAATAATATACATCCCAGTTATGAGTAAAGTTTCTAAGAGAGGGATAAACCAACCATGGAGAACCAAGCAAGTCAAGGAGAGTATAAAGTTGAAAGAAAAAGCATATAAGGAAGCAAAATTCAGTGATCGCACTGAAGACTGGGATACATTCAGAATCCAGCGAAGGAGGACTAAAAAGATAACAAAGAGGGAGAAGATAAGCTAGACAGACAAACTAGCATGGAATATAAAATATTGACAATAAAAGCTTCTTCAAATATATGAAAAGGAAGAGAGAGGTCAAAATGAACATAGATACCGTAGAAAATAAATGTGGGGATATAGGTACAGGGAACAAGGAAGTGGTGAAGGTTTTAAATGGGTATTTTGCATCAGCCTCTATGGTGAAAGATACCTTGAACATTCCACTAACTGTAAAAGAACATCAGAGAGGAATTAAGTTCCATTACCACCAACAGAGAACTAGTATTAGACAAACTAATGGACCTAAGGGCAGATAAGTCCCCTGACCTTAATGGCTTGTATCCTAGGATTCTAAAAGAGGTAGACACTAAAATAGTGGAAGCATTAGTTGCAATTTTCCAAAAATCCATGCATACTGGAGATTTGGAAATCTGCCAATGTGACACCCCTATTCAAGAAAGTAGGGATGCAAAAAGCAGGTAACTATGGACCAATTAGCCTAACATCTATTGCTGAAAAAATGTTGGAATCAATTATTAAGAAACTAATAGAAGCACATTTGGAAAGCCATATTCGAAATCAAGCTGAGTGAGCACAGCTTCATGAAATGGCAATTGTGTCTGACTAATATATTAGAATTTTTCAAGGAAGTCACAACCAGAGTGGAAAGAGGGGAACCAGTAGATATATTGTATTTGGACTTATAGGAGGCATTTGACAAGGCACCTCACAAAAGATTATGTTATAAGATAAGAGCCCACAGTATGGAGGTAATATATTGGTATAGATAGAGAATTGGCTAATGGGTAGGAAACAGCAAATGGCAATAAAGGGTTCTTTTTCAGGTTGGTAGCCTTTAACCTGTGGACTTTCAGAGGGATTAGTGCTGGACCACAACTGATTCTAATTCACATTAATGAAGGAGGAAGGAAGCAAATGTATTGTAGCCAAATTTGCAGATGACAGAAAAATAGGTGGAAAGACAATTAGTGAGAGGTATACAAACAGTTTACAGAGAGATATTGACAGGTTAAGTAAGTGTAAGTAGGGGAAAATGTTGCCAAATGGAGTGTAATGTGGGAAAATGTAAAGTTGTTCATTCTGGAAGGGAGAACAAAAGAACAGAATGTTATTTTAACATAAAAATGCAGAAAGCTGCAACACGGGGACTTGGGAGAATTAGCGCATGAAAGCGAGAATGCCAGCACATAGGTGCAGCAGGACATCAGGAAATCTAATGCAACGTTGGCCCTTATTTCAAGGGTGTTAGAGTATAAGAGTAGGGAAGTTTTATTGCAACTGTACAAGGGGCTGGTAAGACCACATCTGGGGTATTGAAAGAAGTTTTGGTCCCCTTATTTAGGAGAAGATACTTTATATCTTAAGAAAAGGTTCCCTAGGATGATCACAGGTATGGAGGGGTTCTCTTATAAGCACAGGTTAAACAACTTGGAGATCTATTCCCTGGAGTTTAGAAGAATGAGAGGTGATCTCATTTGAGACATATAGGATTCTTAAGGGGCTTGACTCAGTAAATGCTGAGAGGATGTTTTCCTTCGTGGAACAGCCTAGGACCAGAAGGCACAGTCTCAGAATAAAAGGGTGCCAATTTAAGACAGAGTTGAGGAGGAATTTCTTCTCTCAGATGGTTGAGAGCCTTTGGAACTCCTTGCCACAGAGAGCTATGGGAATTATGTACATTTAATGCTGAAATAGATGATTCTTGATGAGTAGAGGAACCAAGGGTTACGGGGAAAATACAAGAAAGTGGACATGAAGAATGTTGGATTAGCCACAATCCTAATGAATGGCAGAGCAGCTTGAGGGGCCAAATGGCCTATTCCTTTCCCTTTTCTTATGGTCTTATGGCCTACTTCTGTTCCTGTGTTTCGCTGTTAATCTCCAACCTTAAAAATATATTCCTGAAACAAAAGGTGATATTCTAAAACAGATGAATTATGCAATCATATATCCACAACAAGAGCCAAGTCTTCAAATAATTATTTTTACATGATAATTACTGATCTACATATCCCACAGGGGTTTACTACACACCTCAAGACGTGCAGTAGTTAAACATGTCAGTAACTGTAGTCATGCTGAGTTTCCAATCTGCAGGCATTTTGTTTTTCACCTTTAACTAGATCTACCCTAATTTCCCCACAGTTTTAGACACCTACAGTCCTAGGTAAGTTGAAATTCCCTATTATGAATCAAATTCATTCCAAGCTGGTGAGATGAGATAAATCTGTTGTCTGTTAGCTTTCAGGTTCCTTTTTTATATGTATGGACTAAGTGAAAAGCTAGAAGATATGGAACTGTTTGAACACTTTCTGGATTGAAAAGAGCTTTTATCAAGTGATTTCATGGAAAATGAGGTCAACAATATAATGTGTGCTCTGACGTTTATAGAAAGTCAATGACTTTGGAGAAAAGTCAAGCAAAGTTTTTAGGAAGATAAGAGATGGGCCCCCAGTTACAGAAATCTGACTATGAGAAGGCTGTGGGTATCTTTGTGTTGATGTTTGCATAGTAACCCTTTCTGGACTTGAGTTCTATTTTCACAGACCTTGGTGGTCACAAGGAAGAAAACTGCAAAAGCTTCAAATCTCTGTCACTGTCTCAGGAGAACTTTCATAATAAAAGTTCCAAATACCTGCATTTCTGACTACCTTATAAACCCTGAAATGCTGAATGCTGACTTCTTTCCAAAGTCTCAGATTCAGCTTGGTTTCATTCCAAACTGCAGATTTTCCATTGGCCTATTGCTGTTTGTAATCTAGTTTCATTAAAGAAATAAAAAACACTGCACCTGAAGATTCAAAAAATTCTAACCTTTGCTTTCAGAATCTTGGTAAATGGGGAAAATTTTCCTTAAACTGTTTTGTTGAAAACATGACCTCTGAAGAGTCTGCTTTCTTTTGCAATGCACGAGTATGTCTGCTTTGGGAAAAAGATCTAATTCCAAATTATAAATTAAATGTTAACCAATGCTAGCCACTTGTTTTTAAGAGCAAGTTCATTAAAGAAGTCTGGTAAAAGTCTCATTTATTCTGGATTGTGGAACAAAAGTGAATCAATTGGCCATTTTGATTATTGGATCTAAACATTTTGACTAATTACCACACCTCACTTGTGATAGTGTACTGGAAATCGAGCCCTGCTATTCCCAGAATTGTCACAAAGTGTAAAGATTCTAAAAAGTACAGAAAGATTCCCTAATTTGCCTGTCTTTTAGACCCAAGTTGACAGAAAGCATGGACCAAGTTTCTGTACTTAAAAAAATGACTATTTAATGCAAGTAAGTATACTCTAGCTACAGGTAAAGAATTATGAACTGTCAGCATATAACCCTATTAAATAAAACTCAAATCCCCTTATAAACTCTCTCTTTCACACACACTCACACTAAAAGAAAATATGTTATGGATGGAGGGAAATCTGGCAATGTAGTTCAGTGGTGTCTGTTCACAGGATCTGCTGAAACATTTCTTGTGCTGGTTAGAATGCTGCTTCTTAGTCTTCTTCTCCAGATGCTTCTTCTGGCTTGGAATCTGCAAAGGGTAGTTTGTTCACTTATAAAAGGTGTCTCACTTATGAATTAAAAGTGACAGCTTACGGCAACTGCTGTAGGGGAAATAAACTGTTTTCTTCAGGTTTAAAGTGGCTTTTATTGCAGAGAACAGAGAGAGCTCCTGAGCTGGTAGAGATCTGATGACCTCTCCATACGTTGTTCACAGCCCCAGCTGTTCAGCTACCTGGGAGCCAATCACATGGTTGTTGGCAAGCAGAAGGCCTTTGTTATTGATAAGTAGTCACTAGTCCACAGCTGCCTGTACCTAGCAATACACCATTTGTACAGAACTCCTCGACTCCAGTGCATCTGCAACTACACTTTAACTACTGGTCAAACAAATTATGTAAATGGTACTTACAAAACATGCTTTCAAAATATGCACAATCTTTGGTTTTTAAACAGTATTTTTTTCTCATTTTGGTTCACAACAAAAATGCAGAAAAATAAAAAGTTATGGACTTTACTTAATAGTGAGAATGGTGGAGCTTGATTACCAGCGCATTCCTCCCATCACTACTGTAACAGTCCTATGTGAAATGATGTTGAGCAATCTGAATTAATTCCTAATATGCACAAGCTCAGAGTTCAGTTGACTTTAATATGCAGTCACAAGAATTAAAATTGGATAAATGTCACACAAATGCACTATAGCGTACTCATCTGAGGTTAGAATTGAGGGACATGTTGTGAGATAAGAGTACTTTGTTCTGTGACCAAGTGGAGGTATGTACGTCAAAAGTGGAACGAGCATTAACACCTTTCAATTCCACACTTTCGTGAGCAAAGCATTCACAAAGCAAAGCCACAAGTTAAATTTATAAAGATCATCAATATCCACAGTAAAAGCTAATAAGTTACACATCTAAGAAATATTGTTGAATGTGATTTACTTACTGGCACAGGTGGTGGTGAGTCTGCTCGTGCAGGAAATGGACAGACTGCCAACTCATATTTTACCTTGGGGATCCTTGTAGGTGAAAACCTTCGTAACAATAATTTTTTATAATTAAATGAATTGCACAGATAAAACGACCATTTTCTGCTTAAATGATTTGCTAACAAAATGATTATATTGAAATATTTCCAATCCCATTGTTTATAAGTAAAGCACCAAAGTAGTAAAACTATAGTACAAGAAGGGGAACAGGTCAGAGGCTAGAAATTCTGTGGAAAGTAACTTACCTCCTGATTCCCAAAGCCTGCCCACAATGTAAGTTAGGAGTGATGATGGAATTTTCTTCATTTGTCTCGATGGGTGCAGCTACAACACTCAAGAAGCTTGACCCCATCAAGGACAAAAAAGGCCTGCCTAGTTGGTACCTCGTCTAACACTTTTATCATCCTCTGTCTCTATCACTGTTGCACATTGGCAACAGTCAGTACCATCTACAGAACACTTTACAGCAATTCATGAAGACTCCTCTGACAGCATCTTTCATAAGCAGAACCTTTATTACTTATAAGGAAAAGGACAGTGGACGTATAGGGACTCCTCCACCTGTAAGTTCCCCTTGAAGTCACACGCCATTAACCTTTGGGACTATATCACTGTTTCTACACTGTTTTTGGATTAAAGACCATGATCTCCCTTCATAACAGAATAGTGGATATGTCTACGCCATATGAATCACTGTGGGTCAGTCGGGGGCATCCACATTGTAAGTCACGGACAGCCGCCAATATCAGTCCAGGGTTCGGCATGTCATTTAGACACGGAGGGCAGTCAGCAACAGAATCTTCCCTTCATAAGCAGTGAGTAGCCAAATGTTAGCCACCCCACCAGCATATTCTGAAGGACAATTAGGAATGGGTAAATACTGACCAAGCCAGAGACACTCACATTTCAAGAAATAATAAAAATGAAACTTTGAAGCACTTAGCCTCAGGTTCCCATTCCAACAACTATCACATAGATAATAAAAACCAAGAATTCCTGACTTGGGAACTTCGCAATTCAACTTTGCCACATATTCCTGTGGATTGCCATTTTGGACATCTGACACCAACATCTCAAGGTATGTTCCATAGGCAGTGACTGCATGTACCTCAAATCTACAGACACAGACATCTGATGCATGCCAATCATTTCAGCACATCTCCAATCAACTTACAGTACTCTTCCACACTGAAATGCTGTACTTTGTAGTCCACTGGTAACTATAAATGGAATGCTGCAAGGACACTTTCTGCACAGACAGCTCATAGGTTGGATCAGGCTGCTTCTCAGGGATGCTCGTGTACTTTCTTAACAGTCACTTGCTTAGTGCCTACCTGGATGCTCAACATTTCAGTCTTACCTTGCCTTTATATGCTTTTTTCTCTCAGCCAGAGTTAACAGGCACACAGTCTTGACTTGTTTTTTAGTGCAGACACAAAGCCAAGAAACTTATGATGATTGTCAGCAATCATCAAGAGAGTGGACATGTTGCTGCATGGCACCATGCTATGACGATCTCACATCTGCACCATGTGCTAGCAGCATATGCCACAAATGCATTGCACGTTCTTAAGCAAATGACTACATCTCCAAGTCTAAGTTAAGTAATCCTCACAGAGACACAGTTTAGTTAGGGCTTATCTGCATTGTAAGTCAAGGACAGCCTCCAATATCAGCCCAGGGACAGCATGGTCATTTAGAGACTTGAGCAGTTAGGGACTGAGGCCTCCCCTCATAAGCAGTGAGTAGACAAATGCAGACCATGTCACTATTCACCTTGGCTGTTTCTGCCACATAGTGGGCAGTTTTCCTCTGGAATAAGGGAAAGTGAGAAATCAAGCGAAATAGAAGTGGCTGGTATAGTTAGAGTCATAGAATCCCTACAGTGTGGAAGCAGGCCATTTGCCCCATCAATTCCACACTGACCCTCTGAAGAACATTCCATCCAGACCCACCTCTACCTTATGTCTGCATTTCCCACCCTAGACACCATGGGCAATTTAGCACAGCCAATCCACCTGACCTGCACATCTTTGGACTGTGGGAGGAAACCGGACTGGAGGACCTGGAGAAAACCCACACAGACACAAGGAGACTACGCAAACTCCACACAGACAGTTGCCCAAGGCTGGAATTGAACTCGGGTCCCTGGCGCTGTGAGGCAGCAGCGCTAACCACTGAGCCATCGTGCCGTTATTAGTGCTGGTGCAGTTGGGGAAAGATGGTGACGTGTGCCACATGAGTAAGCAGGGGAGAGGTCATGCAGAGTTAGTGACGTGGCGGGTAATTGGTTGGGTAATAGTGAATGAGAGAAGATGTTGAATGCGATAGTGAGAGTGGTACAGCATGAGCCTTGGTGGAAGATGGAGTCAGTATGAGGTTTCAGAGGAAAGATTGGGGAGACTGAAGCAAGTTATTGACCTTCTTCCTACATTGTTAGGTGTCTCTCCAGGTGGCTGAGACCACGCTGGCCTGGGAGGCAACCTCTGTCCAGGATAATAGGGTTTGGTGTCATGGCCTCCTCTGTCAGTCCAGTGGGAACAGAACTTCCTTCCTCTGTACCATCCCATCCATCAGGCTCTCCAGGACCATGTCCACAAAGCAGGGCATCAATTTTCTTTTATCTGCCATTTTCAGGCATTTAGGTGTTCAGGTGTCATAGTATCCTTACAGAGGGCAAATGCTACGAACTGTGTAGTACAGTTCCAGACTGACAGCACTTGACTGGGTATACAACAGCCTTTTAAAGATGGTGTTCATACCAGGGATTCCAGGATATCCTAGAGTATTGCTGGCTACAGTGGGTGGGAGAATCAGGTTAGCATCAGACAAGAGCGGTACCATAAATATATGTGTAGGTAGTTAATGAGTCGGGTTTGGGACAATAACTTGAGAAAGTTTGGTAGGCCTCACAGAAAGAACCTCCCCATGAAACTCAATGAAAATAATATTGCGAAAATTTAGTGGAATTCAAGTCTACTGTTCCTAATTTTTATGAGTGCAGTTCAATGTAAGACCTGTGACCGAGCTAAAGTGAACAATTTCCTGCTTTTGCTACTTGTCACGGAATGTTAAATAAATATATGAAAATTTACAGTTTCACCAAGTAACAAATAGATTTGTCCAGAATCTACTGAGAAGTGGATTTCATAGTTGAATCACCACTCCTCAAGTAATGAAAGGTGTCATCAACAGTGCTATCTTGTTTAGCAATATGCATTTGCAATTCAATTTGTATTCAGCTAGGGCCACTCAACTCCTGACTCATACAGCCATAGTACAAATGTAAACGAAAAAGCTGAATGCCAGACATGAGGTGAGAGTCTCTGTTCTTGACATCAAGGTTGCATTGAGGAGCCTTAGCAAAACTGGAGTCAATGCAAATTGGGGTAAAAATCTCTACTCGTTGGAGTCATACATGTCATAAAGGAAAGATAGTTACGATGTTGGAGTTCGGTCATCTCAGCTCTAGGACTTTACTGTAAGAATTCCTTAGGGTAATATAGTAGGCACAACCATCTTCAGCTGCTTATTTAATGACTTTCTCACCATTATAATGTCAGCAGTGGGGATGTTTGCCGATGGTTGCACAATGTTCAGCACCAATTGTGACACCTCAGTTACTGAAGCAGTCCATGTCCAAATGTAGTAAGACTTGGACAATATCCAGGTTTGGGCTACAAGTAACACTCACACTTACAAATGCCAGGCATTAACCATTTCCAACAAAGAAAGAATCTAACCGTTGCCCATTGACATTCAATGGTATTACCATCACTGAATCAACAATTAATCAACATCCTTCGGGATTACTGTTGACCATGAACTGAGCTGGACTAGCCATATAATTACTGCGGTCATAATAGGAGTTGAGAGCCTAGGAATCCTGTACTGAGTAAATCACCTCCCCACTCCCCAAAGCCTAGCCACCATTTTCAAAGTACAAGACAGGAGTACAAAGAACATCACAGCAAAGGAACAGGCCCTTTGGCCCTGCAAGTCTGCGCTGACACATTTTGCCCTTCCATACTGACACTATTTTCACTTACAGATCTATATCTTTCTATTCCCTTCTTGTTCATGTATTCGTCCAGGTGGTAATTGAATGTTGCTATTATGGCTGCTTCAACCACCTCCTCTGGCAGCACATTCCAGGCAGTGTGAAAAATTTGCCTCACACATCTCTTTTAAACTTACCCCCACACCCCAACCCCCTCCTCTAACATCTTGAATCTGTGTCCCCTACTAATTGACTGTTCTAGCCTGGGAAAAAGCCTCTTACCTTCCACTCTATCCGTGCCATTCACAATCATATAAACTTCTATCAGGTTGCCCCTCAACCTCCTGTGGTCCAGTGAAAACAAACACAGTCTTTCCAACCTTCCTTCATAGCTAAATCCCCCAAAACAGGCAACATCCTGGTAATTTTTTTCTGTACCCTCTCCAAAGCATCCACATCCTCTGGTAGTGTGGTGACCAGAGCTGTATGCCATATTCCAAGTGTGGTCTAATTAAAGTTCTAGAAAGCTGCAACATAACTTGCCTATCCTTATACTCAATGCGCCTTCCAATGAAGGCAAGCATGCCATAGACCTTTTTTTCTTGCCTGTGACTTCACCTTTTGTGCCAACCTCCCATGAGGGACCTTGTCAAAGGCTTTACTGAAGTCCATGTAGACATCAATTACTTTTTCCACAAACATCTTTGTCATCTCCTCAAAAAACTTGATCAGTTTAGTGAGGCACGACATCCACTACACAAAACCATGCTGTCTATCGCTAATAAGTCTATATGCTTTTAAATGCGGATCGATCTTGTCACCAAGAATCTTTTTCAATAATTTCCCTACCATCTACATGAAGATCACAGGTCTGTAATTTCCTGGATCATCCCTGTCCGCCTTCTTAAACAATGGGACAGCATTGGATATTCTCCAGGCCTGTGAGACCTCACTTGTGGCTAAAGAGGATACAAAGATGTCTGTCAATACTTCACCAATTTGTTCCCTTGCATCCCTCAATATTCTGGGATAGATCGCATCAGGA